TGCCCAGCCCCCAGCACCGTCCGAGGACCCTACAGGACATGTCTCCCACCCTGCAGGCCTCCAGCTGACACCAGAATTGCAGGGGAAAGGTTGCCTCTGCCTCCAAATACTCCCCCTCCTTTACCGTGCAAAGGATTCCAAGAAGGACACCAAAACACATCAGATACTTCGGGGACAGTGGTTCCTAAGGCGGTTGGGACAGAACTGAAAGTCCAGCCAGGAGGAGCAGACGAGGCCCAGGACTCAGCAGTCTCTCCTCAGGCCAGCGGGGCCTGCAGGGTGACGCCAGGCAAACCCGCCACCCCAGGCAGTGGTGGTCGTCGCTGCATCTCCGACACCCAAGTGCGTGGCCAGGCGGCTCAACTGCACACACGCAGGGACGTCTGCCACCGGAGGCTGCATGGGGGTGGCACTCAGGCGGCCCAGACTGAGCAGACACGCTCCTGCTGCCCCAGCCCCCCACTGCACGTGCCCAGTGCCAGGAGGTCATGGAAGACAGACGCCCTGGACCCGCAGGCCTCAGAGGGCCCAGAGCTGAGTTCCGAGGAGCTCCCCGGGGAGCACGTCCCAAGTGCGCAGTGCTCCCTCCCCCGTGTTCAACGGCTTCCCCTGGAAGGAACGGGAGAGGAGCCCCAGGGCGGGGCCGTCAGCGTGAGGGGGCTGGTTTGAGCGCTGCCTGGGGCAGGGCCCGGGCTCCCGGGACTGCTCCTCCCGCCCTTCACCACGGCCTGAGCGCGGTTCTGGCTTGGGCTAAGTCAGCCGCGCAGGAAAAACGTGGGGAATTTTATTTTGTTTCCACAAAATTTCTATAAAATGTTTTAAGGTTAAAATCCCTTTCACAAAGCCATTACGTGCCAACCAGCAGGTCCTGATTCCTCCAGAGGAGCTCAGAGAGCATTTAAAATTCAGCGGCCGCCCAACAGGCAGCGGAACCAGAGCTGCCGAGCAAACTCCAGCGCAGGTCCCGGCCTCCCAGTCCGACTCACGGCCGGGGCTCCTTTCTTTCCACGTTTCTGTGCCGGCGCTCGGACCAGGTGCACCAGGGTCAACAGCGTCCCCCCAAATCCACACCCACCCAGAGCCCTGGAACGGGCCTGATTTGGAAACAGTCTTCGCAGGTGTAGCCCGTCAAGCGTCTTGAGACGAGACCGTCCTGGAGGAGGACGGCCCCAACTCCACTGACCGGTGTCCTCGTGAGCAGAGGACAGAGGGGGCCGAGGCACCTTGAGCCCAGGGACGTCTGGGCAACCCGCGGCTGGAGATGCCCCCCAGCGCCTCCAGGGCAGCACGGTCCTGCGGACACCCCGACTTTGCACTTCCGGATTCCAGGACGGCCAGAGGGAGGTGTCTCTTGCTTCGCACCACTCGGAGCCCGCGGCCCTGCGGCCCAGGAATCGATGGTGACGTGAAGTGCAGTCCCAGGACTCCTTGGGGCACGTGCATCCAACACCGACTTAAGAACAAACTGTAACTTCCCTGACCGGCTGTGTGTGTCTGAGGCCCACAACTGGCAGGTGACACACAAGTGGCTGCTGCTGACCAAGGCCAGGCGCTGGGGACGCTGCATCCTGCTGGGCTTCAGGTTCCTCCAGCCGCCAACTCCGAGGCTCTCAGGAACTGCGGACCTCACCCCTGCAGGGCTCTGGCTCCCACCTGCCGCCCTCCCCAAGGAGGTCCCTGCTGCAGCCCTGGCCCACGTGCCACGGGATTTTCATGACCAGCTAAGGACCGTGCGCTGAGGGCCCGAGGGGAGAGTGGTCTTCGCCTGCAGAGGCACAGCCCCCAGTGGACTGGACACTCCTAAGGAAACTGCACTGGAAACCACAGTTCTGTTTTCCACGAGGTTAGCTTTGCTTACACGGTACACTGAGTGCAAATGTAATTGGAAGTTTTTGTTTGTCAAATGAACAGCCATCTATCCGCTGGCTTTAAAGAGCCACGTGGGCATAAAAATCCTCCAAAAATTAATGCGTGGATGTTAGACACATCTGTTTACTCACTGAGCAAATAATCAGGTTGAAGTGTTGCTTTTCCTCAGACTCCTTCACAAGCGCCAGACCCACACTGGACAAAACAGCTTCGGGTTTCTCAAGCGTGAGGGCGCCGGACACCGGGATCCAGCAGCTGCGGGAACAGCCCTTGTCAGGAGTGGCAGGTGTCCACGTGGCCACGTCTGCTCCTGGAGACCTGCACTGCCACTGCGGCCGGGGGCTCACCTGGGCAGTGCCGACACTCCAATTCCAGACGACTCCCAGAGGAGGCCTTTTGCAGACTGAATGTGGATTTTCACCAAAGCCTGGGTAACCATCACAGAGCACCAGGATGTCCTCCTGCCGCTATTCAAGTGACCACAGTGTGTTCTGCAAATGAGGAAAGCCCTCGGCCTGTGATGTGCTCTCCCTCCTGGAGCTGAGCGCAGAGTGGAGCGCCCCAGCGCCCAGCAGCCGCAGCTGGAGCCTCTAGGACATGCACCGTGTGGCCTCCTCTGCTCCGTCATGCCTCACGCCTGCCCACAGGGCCACTGGAGCGTGACCTTTTGCTCAGAAACAGCTGCGTCTGAGACGAGGGGTCAGACACCAGTGACTCTTATGAGCGTCTTCTCCGTGTTCTCTCCTCCCACCCGGGGAAACCCGGGCCCCTCTTTTCCACGGGAATCTGCAGAGCAGACCATGCCACGCTGCCCGTGTATTAGGAGAGGGAGCTGCCGGAGACCCCACGCCTGGCCCACCTTGGGGCTGCGGTTCTGAGATGGACGGGGCGCAGCAGGGAGTGGGCCGGGTGGAATGCCTCCCCAACACCTGCGTCTGCATTAAAGATTTTCTAGACTGCTCTGCCCAGCAGGCTGGCACTGGCCACGTGGCCGTGTATGATCTGAGTGGAGATGAAATTTAAAATTTGGCGCCTCAGCTGCTCAGGGTGCTTGTCAGCCACGGTACAAGCAGCTGCAGTGTGGCGAGGTCAGTCTCCAGCGCCCCGAACTGGGGCTGAGAGGACGGCGCCTTCCTGTGCTGGGGCCCAAGGCAGGACGGACCGAGGCCGGGACCTCAGGCTCCACCTGCCTACGTGGTTCGGTGGAGAAATCCCGCCTCAGGGCCTGCAGAGACGTGCTTCTCAGCAGCCGCCCCGCGTCCCAGCTGGTTTGTCAGCTGCCTCAGGAAGCAGCGGGAGCAATGCCGCCGCCAAAGGAAAAGTGCCGCACATGCCGGGCCCTGCAGCCACACCCACGTCCAAACTCAGGGCGGAGGTTCCCCCTTTTCCACTTGGGAGAGAAAGCAAGGCCCCACTGCCCGAGCTGTGTCGCCCCCACCCACACGGGCCCCTCACGGCTCGGCGGCTCTGAGACTCACGCCCGCGGGCAGCCCAGGCGCTACCCAGTGACAGCTCTGACCCGAGTGAGGACACGGCGGCCTTTCTCGTGACATTTGTTCTGTGAGGAGGAAAGGCCACTCTGGAAGCTCCTCTGGCCTTTCCTGATCGCTGGCGCTCCGGGCTGCTCCGCGCTGTTCTTCCAAGGGCTCTTTGCTTCCACTGCCGGCCGCGCCCGTCAGAGCGGAGGCCTCGGGGTGGGAGAGACCATCCTGCACACAGCAGGGTCATTGGTTCTCAAGCAACGAGTCAGAGATGACCGTGCGCAGAGGTACAGGGCTGGGAGGTTCGAATCTGGTGGCAGCGTGGCTCGAGCACCCCCGTGGCTCAGGACGAGCGCAGGAGACCTTGGCGAGGCCGGGCCTTGGGCCTCGCTGGTGTCCTGAACAGTGAGGACACACATAGTCCCCAGCTCTCGAGGGGCGCGGCGCCTGCGGGACCCGTCGTCAGACCGGTTAGCTCTGCAGCCTCAGGAGAGAAGGAAACCCACAGAGTGAACGAAGGGTTCACGGTCCCCGGGCAATCGGTCCGTAAAAACCGCACATACCCTGCGGCCTCCCCACGGGCAGTGAAGCCGGGTCTCTACTAGGAGTCGCTGAACACTCAGGAAAAGCCACCTACGTAGCCAAGTATTCACACGCACGCGGTGAAGCCTCGCTCAGCCAGGTGCCGTCGGCTTCACTGAACAAAGCACGGAGGATTTCACTGCACGTTCGGCCAAAGGGACCTCAGACCCAGCAAAAGCCGGCTCAGCTCTGTCCATAGGAAACCGGCCGCTGAGGACGGAAGGTCAGCGTGTGATGGTGTTTGTGCGGAGACTGCTGGGGGGAGATGACGCCGCCACAGACTGCCATGTCCTCGTGCTCCACCACAGCCCCACCGTGGACGTGCGGCGTGGCCGAGCCCTCCCTGTGCAGGTTCAGACGTTCGCATTTCTGCCTCTGCCCTCGCCCAGGTCACATGAGAGCAGGGAGGGGAGGGGGCACGCGCGAGAGCTCTCAGCCTTGAGGTTCCGGCGCCCACGTGCGGGGGCCTCACCACAAAGGAAGGTTGGCCCTCGTGCCCCTGCCAGGGGCTTCGCTTCCCACTCTGGGACCCCCGTCACAGGATCTGACCCTGCGGCCACACTGCGTGGTCCTGGCTGTGGTTTGCGGCTGCACTGTCACCGCAGGGCCCTCGAGCACACCCAGGAGCCACACACGACTCCGAGCTCCCAAAGGTCGAGACGACCAAACAGAGGCACTGGTTTGCACAGAGGTAAAAGCGGGCATTTACAGCTCTTGCATGTTCAGTGGGGAAAAACATCAGAAATATAGTTGGGTGACAGTCAGAGGAGCTTGGCAGGCACCAGCTCTGCGGACACGGAGGAGTAGGCTTGAGCGTTGACATCAGAACCTGCCGGGCACGACCGCGCGTGGTCTGATGGTGGCGGCTCCAGCTCACCTTGGACGCCAACCCAAAGCCCCTCTACTGACAGTAAAAAATGTTTCTTTATCAGGAGTTTTTGCCTTAAAAAACATAACCAGTGAGGCTGAGGACAGCGGAATTGCCTGGAAGGATGGCGTCCCTTCTCTCGTTTTTCTCAGCACAGTCTGCGGGCGCAAGGCCTGGCTGAGAGGGGACGTGGCACCTACCTCCACGACAGACTTGGCGTCCAGCCGGAAGTTGAAGTCGCCGAACACAAAGTAGGACGCTTTCTCGAACCGCTGATCGATGATCCTGGGGAGGAAGGGAGACAGAGGTCACTGGGTGTGCTGACGCTACCCACCCACACGGCTGCAGAGTGTCCGCCACGCTCCCCGCCACGCACTCCCCGCCATCTCCCACTGCAGGGAAACCATGTGATTGCTGCTTTGTGCCACCAGAACTTAGCACAGAGACCACTGCTAACACGTGGCCATCTCTCCCCAACACGGGCACACGTGGAGGATGAGGCACAGCCAGGTCTCCACTGTGTCCTCATCCCCTGGGCCATGGCGGCAGGGAGTCAAGTTCGTGGAAGCTGCGGCCCCACCGAGGAGGACAGGGCCGGTGGGGGAGCACGGGTGAGAAAACGCCGAGTGCGGGAGAAGCGGAGCGAGTGCGGGAGAAGCGGAGCAACTGCGGGGCGTGTCCGGTGAAGGCGGGAGGCTCCGCACACGCCAAGGCCGGCACCGCGCAAGTCAGAGGCGCGGGCTCCGCCCTGTCCTGGCGCCCGCCTGGACACTTCAAAGTTACCAAGTGCGGGCGGCTGCATACAGACATGCGTGAGCGTGTATGCATTAGCTAGGAGGTGCTAAAAGTATTCTTCAAAAAAAATTTTCCACATATTTAGCTCAATCACAATCGGTTTCATAAAGATTTTCCCACCGAAGAACACACACACAGCAACTGTCCCAGAGCGGTACGTGAGGCGGTTTCCCTCACAGACACAACTTCCGAAGGAAAGCAGCAGACCTCCCTCGCTCACCCCCAAATCCACACTCGCCCCACCGCGGCAACGTGGCTGATAAGCACCGCTGGCTTCAGGCAGAGTAAGAGGCCGGGTGCTTCCAATTTGGAAGCAAGACGAGAACTATCTGCAACAGGGAATTTGCTAACAGGGCCCTCAGCGGCCGGAAACGTGACCTGCAGGGAAGGACGTTCCTGCTGCCAGAGCCCGTCCTGCCAGCCCCGGCCTCACTCGCGCCATCTGCTGCGACTCCACCTGGGAGGCACTCAGGACAGGCAGCTCCCAGGGCGACTTTCAGACGCTGCGTTTGGAAACGGACTGAGCGTTTCTGTTTTTGATGTTCTTGTTCAGGCCAAAGCCAGGGAAACCTCTTAATTAGATCAACTCCAGAACTTCTCCTGAGCCACCGCGAAGCCCCCATGCGCCAGCTGCTGGGCCTTGCGATTCCTGCTCCGGGCAGCCGTGCACCGCTGTCTGCCAGCCCCGGGGAGGGCACTGTGGTTGGGCGCCGCACCTTCCCAGAGCTGGAGAAGGGGCGCCAGGGTGCAGGCGGAGACAGAGCGGGCAGCCACATGCTCGCTGACGCGGCCTTTTCCAGCTGGATGCTCTGGCTGGAGAGCCCAGCGCTGACGCACGAGCAGACTGCCTCCTGTTTCCGGCTTCCGCAGCCTGTTCTGTGTCGCCCTACAGCAGCTCCTGAAGCACAGCGCCCTGAAGAACGAAGCTGCCACAGCCACTGTCCCGCTCTGCACCTTCCGGAAGCTTCCGGGCCGGGGGAGGGGAGGCTGGAGCAGCTGGCAGTCCACACCTTCGTGACTTAGAGTGGGTGAAGTCGCCATTGTTTCATCGACTTTCTGGGGGGAAACGTCATTTCTGTCTTGTGCGCCCTCAGCTGCGGTGAGGCCAAGTCTACGCGCGGCTGAATCTGCGCTTCCCGTGTGACCGCCGGCTCCCAGCCTGTTCCTCTACTTCCCTGCCTGCCTCGTCCTTTGTGCTCTCCAGCCGTGCCCTATACGTTCTGGAAGGAAATGCTTTGTCTGCTGAGGACGCGGCTCTGTCAGACGGCCCATCAGCCCGTCACACCCACCCGCCACCCGGCTGACGCGCCCAGAGCCCCCCGCTTTATCTGCACGGCGGAGTTTTCAGGGTTATCCTTTAATCCGTCTGGAATTACAGTGCAGAGCAGGGATCTGCGCTTATTGATTTCCCAAGTGATGGTCCATTGATCCCCACCGTTTATTAGATGTTCAACCCTCTTCCCACCAAGTCGGTGACGTGACAGAAAACTCCCTACAGCAGGTCTGGTTGAGACCGTCTGTGCTTCCTGCGGTCTTTGTTTCAATTAACGCGGCTTTTTATAGGGAAGCCCTTCTTGTTGACAATTCTTTTAAAAATGGTCTCAGCTATTTCAAATTCCCCTTGCAAATTAAATACCATATCCTCTTGCCAAATCCCACAAAAAATCCTTTTTCCTTTTCAATTGGAGGAACTTTCCCTTTTAACATTAATTCAACTTTAACATTAATTTGAAGAGAAGTGACACATTGGGAGGAACTGTTACTACTAATGCAGACCAGCCAGTAACCTCACTAACTTGTGTTAAAACTAAACCTTTCTTCAGAGGAAGGGGGGCCGGGGGTGAGGGCCTCGGCCTGTTCGGGACCCCTCAGCCTCCTCCTAACTCCTCACCTCCCTCCCTCCCTCGGCCTCGCGGTGGAGAGGACAGGGCCCTGCCCGCAGGCGGCTCACAGCCTTTCAGCACAACACACCGAAACTACCTTTAAAAAACTTTTATTATCTGCTGTTGGACATCCTTAGAAGGAAAGAAAACCCGCAGAAAACATGTGTTGGCTCCCTGAAAGGTCTCGTGCAAGTCCCGACAAGACACGTGCCTCAGGGGCTTCAGGTCTTCTACCTCACGCACGCTGGGGTCTCGTCCTGGGGGCTTCTATCTGATGAGGACGGGGGTCTCCATCCTTCGCGGCCCATCTCATGAAGATCGGGGTCCAGACGACGCGCACCGCGGCCCCAGTGGGAAAGGGAAGACAGGGATGCGCTTTGCTTTTGTGAGGTGCTCCGGCTCCACCAGCTAAGGGTGACGCCCTTCAGTGGACCCAACTCCAGAGGTGCTGCTCAAGCCGCCCAGGACCACAGGCACCGAGGAACAGGGGCACCACGGTGCTATGACACTGCTCTTTCTAAAGCCACGACTGGTATTATTCACGGCTCAATATGCTGCCTGGTTTCTGGCCGCAGGAAAGTGGCATCGGCTTGCGAGAATGCCCCACCCTGCAGAGGGGCACAGACAGCCACTGCGGCCGACGACAGAACACGGTGTCCGGAGGAGGCTCAGAGCCCCACAGAGACAGACGGGACCTCAGGGAAATGCGCCCCTGCCTGCTGGAAGCCAACGGCAGTGGCTCTCTCCTCCCGCGGCGCTCGCCGGCTGCCCTCCCCGCCTGGGCGCAGCATCTCGCGGGCTGTGGTCTTCACCCCTCACCTCACCCTGGGCACCCAAGAGCTGTGCCCCCCTGCACAGGGCACGCACCTGTCCACTCAGGCAGCCCAGGGCCCAAGTGCGGCTCAGATCCCGGGCTTTGCTTCTGGAGCTTCAGCAGTGACACACCTGTAGGTGGCTGAGGGGCCGAAGGCCACGTGTGTCTGCACACTCGGGGGCAGCGGGGGCTCCGGGCCAGGCCCCAGACCCTCTGTGAGCTCTCTCGCTGTCTCCTGCGTGTGGCTCCCAGGGCAGCTCGATGGAGATCGTGCGGGGCAGGCGGAGGTGCTGCTCTGCTCACACGATTGTCCTGAAACGCCCTGCAGAGGCAGATCCAGAGGAACGCGGGGACAGGGACACAGCCAGTCCAGGGTCGTGGGCAAGGTGGGGGTCGGAGAGGTCAGTTGGCATCACACGCCCTCTTCCCGGCAAGAGCACTCAGCCAAACTTTGCTCCGTTTTCTTTTCTTTCTTCTTACTTTTTAGAGAAAAGCCAAACCACAGCGAACCCCTAGCCTGACCTTGCGCTGAGGGGTGGCTGCAGGGGGGCAGGGACCCTTCGCACGCCAAGACAGCTGCGGGCTCCATGCTTTTGCAATGTCAACGCCTGCGTGTTAGAAAGCAGGGGCGCGCCCACTCCCAGAAAGATCCGGTGTGGAAGGTGCGGAAACGTCTGGACTAGCAGACGAAGCCACTGCTGCCTTCTCAGTGTCCCTCGGTGTCTCTCAGGCTTCACGTGACACCGGTGAGCGTGAAGGTGAACTTAACCGCACCGTGTGTGACCGCAGGTACATGTCAAAAGCCACGCGTCACATATGTGGGGCATGTGCACATACCACACACGAGAAGCCAACTGTCACCCGGATTCCCTCTGCGAGCACACGCGGGCAGGAGGCGACCGCGCGGGGTCCGCTGTGCAGCAGGGAAGGGCGTGAACTCGGCTCAGCAAGTCTTAACTATTCCCGGAGCCAAACACATTTAGATTAAAGCTCAGTTCCCAGAATCCAGTCCATTCCAGTAGGATATGCTGAGACCACGCCCAAGCTCTGTGCCGGAGGACGGGAACGCTGCACGCTTCCGCGATCGGTGAGGCGCCGCCACGTTCCCAGCCACGGGAAATACAAAGCAAGTCGGGTCTGAGTGAGAACAGCCTGGCAAAGCGCCTGCAGGACGTCACAGTGAGTCCCCGAGTGTCAGCGACTCTGCGTGATCTCATGTGACAAGTTCAGATCCTGACAGGGCAGCAAGCTTCACTGTTCTGACCTTGACCTTCTGAGGGGAGCAAACGAACGACGAGGAAAGGCCCACGGGTGACGCTCTGAGGGCAAATCACAGAAGCAAGCGGCCACTTGGCTAATTAAACGTAAATTCCATTCCTTTCTTAAAAACGAACAGATTTCAGCTTTTTGTTTTGTTTTTTAGAAACAGGGTCTTGCTCTGTCACCCAGGCTGGAGTGCGGTGGCGTCAGCCTAGCTCACAGCAATCTCAGACTCCTAGGCTCAAGCATCCTCCTGCCTCAGCCTCCCAAAGTGCTGGGATTATAGGTGTGAGCCACTGTGCCCAGCCCTAAATTTCCGTTTTAATATTTGGCTGAACAAACTTCAAAAAGTTCCAGAGTGTTTAGAGAGAAAGAGTGAAAGAGAGAGAGAAAGAGTGAAAAAGAGAGAGAGAGAGAGAGAGAGAGAGAGAGAGAGAGAGAGAGAGAGAGAGAGAGAGAGGGAGGGAGGGAGGGAGAGAACGCTACTCCTGGGCCTTTCCTCGCTCTACGGGGTTTGGGCAATTGCCCACTCA